TTCAAGTGGGTGATAAAGTGTTTCTGAGAGTTTCCCTTTACAAGCTAGTGATGCGCTTCGGGAATAAAGGGAAGTTAGTACCGAGATTCATAGGTTCATTTGAGATATTGCAACGAGTAGGAAAGGTTGCCTACAAATTGGCACTGCCACCTAGTATGGACAAGGTGCATGATGTTTTCCATGTCTCGATGCTGCAGAAGTATGTAAGTGATCCCTCCCATATTCTGAGTGTAGAGGACATTGAGTTAGCAGAGAACCTCCTGTATGAAGAACGTCCAGTACAGATTCTAGATCGAAGGATTAAAGAGCTCCGGAACAAGAGTATTCTGCTAGTGAAGGTCCTTTGGAGGAATCACAAAGTGGAAGAAGCCACTTGGGAAGTGGAACGAGACATGCAGAATCGCTTCCCGGAGTTATTCGTGTGAATTTCGGGGACGAAATTCTTTTAAGGGAGGAGAATTGTAATGCCCCGCTTGAGGTACGTAGTTAAGATTTGATGTATTGCTTAAATGTTCATTGATTCAGCTTTAATTGAGTTGTGTTAATAATATTTAGTTGGCCCTTGGTTGAATGGATATTGTGAATTGGTTGAGTGGTTGCCTTGAAATTTGTAAAACTTGGCGAAGTTTTTGTGTTACAGACTTCGCCGGGGCGAAGAAGAAGCTTCGCCGCGACGATGAAGCCCTGTAACCTACGGTGTAGGTTCTGTAATTTTTCGCCGGGGCGAAGAAAGATTCTTCGCCGCGGCGAAAGGCTTGACAAAATGTGTATTGAGTTTCTAGAGAATTCTTCCTTTGGGCACAATGACCATTCTACCCCTAATTAGTAGGAAAAGTGGGGAGTAAAATGTAAGGAAATTTCATCGAGAATAGTTTAGTGTGAGGGTGTGAGTGAAATGAATCAAAGGATATAGATGGAATTTCCAAGGAAGAGCAATGACAAAGTTGGGAAGCGATGGTTATCTTATGAGCTAAAAAGGGTTAAGTGAAATAAACCCTCCATTTCATTCATTTCCACCGCCATAACCATTCTCTAAATCCTCTCAAGTTTCCTTTCAATTTTCCAAGATTTCTAAGGAGTTTTAGAGAGCTTTTGGGGTAATTTTAGTAGAGTTTGAATCTAAAGCATCCTAAGTTAAGGATTCTTGCTTTGGATGTGAGTTTGCTTATAATTATATTGAAGTCTTATATGGTTGTTATTGTTCTTGTTGTTGTTTTGAGTTGTTGTATAGAGAAGACAAGGCAACAAGGGAAAGGAAAACTACTAGAGAAGTCACTTTTTCACAAGGTAAGTAAATCCAACCCAAGTGGAGATTTAAGAACTCTTTTGAGTAGAGATTTATGTATGTATGTGTATATCTTATGTTCATTGAGAAATTGAGATGAGATGAGATGAGATTATAGTTATTAATGAGTATGATATGTATTGGAATATGAGAAGTGTTGAGATTTTATGGTGTTGAGTTGAGTTTGATTGAAGTTGAAGGGAGTTTGAGTAAGCCCTATAGAAGTGTTTGTTTCATTGACAGGAAATTAGAGTTTATGAGAGAGTTTTCTCCCGTATTGGGAAGGTTCAAGAGAAGAGAAGAGTTATTGTTAACATAGAGTTTTATATGCACATGAGTTGTATGATGAAATGCTCAAGAGAAGCATGAGTAAGAGTAGAAGGCCTTAATTATTACTACATGGCATAATTGCATTTCATTAGTGCATTAATGAGCATGAGTCATCCATATGCATTAATTATGCATTAGAGAAAGAGTAGAAAAAGAGTAGAGAACTTTGAGTGTGAGCTTTAGTAAAAAGAAAGAGAGAAAAGAGCATAGAGTAGGTTGTGCGATGGGGAACCCGTGAGTAATGGGTAGAGTATTCCCGCATGTACGCCGCATTGAGAGAGCGGCATGAGTATGAGAGAGAGAGAAGTGGTGTAACCCGTGAGAGTGCATGCAGATGAGGGTTATACCTAAGAGTACCCGAGAGAGAGATTATACACTCACATGGCCAAGGGTTCTGAATCCATGCATAACTGAGTCCGATCGGCTAGAATGAGTAGAAGTCACGTAGAGCGGGAGCGAGTCCCGGCCGTGCCTCCGGTAAGATTAGGCCGTGACTTACTAAAGAGAGTTAGTGGAAAAGATTTATGAGAAAGAGAAAACAGAGAGAAGTATAAGAGAAAGAGTAAATCAGAATTGTAAGGAAAGAATTATGGAGAGTTACGGGGTTAGATGAGTAGAGGATTTACTTACTGAGCATTGTTTTAGTGCTCACCCCGTTGTTTCCTATGTTTTGCAGGATCTAGGTGAGGACACGGTCGGATGGGTGTCGGCAAGCAAAGGGAAATGGCTACACTGTCCACCATGTTTTTGATCACTTTTGTACATGATACAATTTTTGTGTAAAGAATATCTATATACATATATTTGTTTAATGAAAGAAAATTTTGGGCCTAACTATTTATGTTATTTTCCATGTGTTTTCATTATGTATCTTTTATGAGTATATGAGTAGAAAGCGGCTATTACAATGTTCATGTTAGAAGTAGGGGCAACAAGGGTCCAATTGTTGTTAGCTATAAGTGCATCATACTCACACTGCATGGTAGCTTTCCATTTGCTACTTTGGAGAGCTTCAGAGATTGTACCAGGTTTTGATTCAACAGATTCAGTCGTGCCAGATCCACCAATGAGAAGGGCAAAATGATTATCATAATTAGTTTGACTATAAGGAACAATATGGGACTGGACAACTGACTTGGATTTGGTCACTATTGGATGAATATTCATAGATGTTGATTTATCATTTGGTTCAGCAGCAACTTGCGATGAACTGAGATCAACAAAAAACTGACATGGTGGTGATTTATTGGAGCAAAGGGTCTCACCTAGACGACTGTCATTTGGTTCAACAACAACTTGCGATGAAGTGAGATCAACAACAAGCTGACATGATGGGAAAGAGCAACATGTAGGGATAATAGGGAGAGTATCTACTGTGGTTTGATTGTGATCAATGAAGATTTTATGAACAGAATTAGGTATAGTGGGGATATTAGATAGGTTAGACATAAGATTGAATCTGGAAGAGGTATTGGGAGAAGTAATTGGAATTATATGAGCTGTTATAGTGTGGGGACAAGACACAACGAATTGAGAAGTCTTACCAACTACTACATTGTCTGAAGGTGACTAATTAGCATAGTCAATTACTACAGGAGAATCAAGGGGAGCTGAAGGGTGATAATGACTAGGACTAAAGCCACAAGGAAAATTTAAAATATGTGGATTTGTACAAGTGTCAATATTGGTTTGAGATTGAGAGTTTAGATTTGAGTGTGGGAAAGAAAACATATTATTGACTGCAAAAGGAAATTCACATTCATTTAATTGTACACTGGGGGTGATAATTACTGTTCCATTAGGTTTTAAACATTTGTAACCTTTGTACAATAAACTATAACTAACAAAAACACACTTTATGGTATGAAAATCAAATTTGTGCTTATTGTAGTGCCTAGTGTAAGGAAAACATGAGCAGCCAAGACTTTTAAGCCTTCATAGAGAGGAGTTTGGTTAAAAAGCTTTTGATAAGGACACACATTATTTAGGATAGGGGTAGGTAGTCTATTAATTAGGTAAACAACAATTTCAAAGGCTAGCCAGTAGTATTGCAGTGGCATAGATGCATGGGCCAAAAGTGTAAGACTAGACTCTACAATATGTCTATATTTCCTTTCACTCCTATCGTTTTGTTGGTGAACATAAGTACAAGATTGTCTAACCTGAATGCCTTGGTCAACTAAGTATGGTAAAAAGGCTTTGTATTCCCCATCTTGATCAGATTGTAAGGTTTTGAGTTTACATCCAAATTGTCTTTTGGTAAGATGCTGAAATCTGATGAAAACTGATCTGACTTCAGTTTTGGTCTTAGGGGGAAACAACCATATGAATCTACTGTAGTCATCCAAAAACTGCACATAGTATTTAAAACCTTCTACTAAGGTACAGGGGGTAGGACCCTAAATATCTATGTGGATCAGTTCTAATGGAGCTATAGCATGAGATTGTGATGCTGGAAAACTAGACTGGTGTAATTTACCTAATTGACAAGTTGTTTCTCCTATTTCAAGAGTGAAATTTTTTACTTGTTTTTCTCCTTGTATTTAGAGAGAAGGTGTTGTAACCCATATTTTTTTATAGTGGAAATCCTTCTTTACTTGCCTGTGGTTTTTCTCTCAATTTGTTTGAGAGTTTTTCACGTAAATTTCATGTCTCAATTTTTATTTGTTGTGTGATATTGTTTCAACCCGATTGTTGATTTTCTAACAGGAAATTCGATAAGTGTCAATAAGAGAGTGATCGAAATCAATGCCTGTGCCAAACAATCACGGAATGGAGTGTATAAATTAAGTAGCAGCATGGCGGCAGATCCTAAGCACAAGTCCAAGAGCATGGCCTAGTAAGAAACTATATGTGTAGAAGATCTACATATGGACCCAAAACTAACAAAGCTGGGAAGGTCTTTCCCTGTGCCTTTTGTTCAGGAGTTGGTGAAGAAGCCACTGAATACGGTTCCACCACGTTATGTCCGACGTGATCTAGAAACTTTGTTGATCTTCAATCACACTTCCTTGCCAGAGGTGCTGGTCATTGACATGTCAAAGTTGATTTCCAGAGATTTCATGGATTCAGTGCTGGAGAAGTTCCACCATGCATGCAAAGAATGGGGCTTCTTTCAGGAATATAGATTCACAAAATTTTGTCTGCTCCAAACTTGAAAAATGAAGTTAGTCAACAATAGCAATATCTGTATATATTCCTAGTTTATTAACATGTATGATTTGTGTTAATTTGGGTGCAAGAAACGTGAAAAGGGAAAATTATTATTGGTTGAAAAGAAGTCGGTTACATTGCTGTTTATATACAAAAGAATAAGTTCATAACTGTCAACTAACTACCTCTAACTACTTTAACTAATTTACAGTTCAGCATAACAGATTTCTAACTAACTAAGCTTCCTCCTATATACCAACTTGAATCTTAACACTCCCCCCCAAGTTGGCATCTTATGAATATCTTTCAAGCATAACTTGGACAGAAGCTTTTCATGATATAGCCTTCCCAACCCTTTCATCATCACATCTACCAATTGTTCTCCAGTTGGTATGTATTTTGTAATGATCAAACCACTTTGAATTTTCTCTCTTATAAAATGACAATCTATCTCTATGTGTTTTGTTCTCTCATGATACATGGGGTTTGCTGCAATCTGTAATGCTGATTTATTATCACAGTAAAGTAATGCCGAGATTTTGGCTTCATCATCAAGTTTTTTAAGCAAGCCAGTTAACCAAACTAGTTCTGCAACAGCTCCAGCCATGCTTCTATATTCTGCTTCTGCAGATGATCTTGCTATAGTATTTTGTTTCTTTGATTTCCAAGACAGAAGAGAATCTCCCATCTTGATGCAATATCCTGATACTGATTTTCTATTAACAGCACAAGAAGCCAAATCTAAGTCACAAAAGGCAATTAACTCTTTTGTACTTTTTGCGGACATAAACAAACCAAGTGCTAGTTCCTTTTTCACGTATCTTATGACTTTCAATGCTGCTTCTAGATGTGATTGTTTAGGAGTCTGCATGTGTTGGCTTAAAATCTGGACAGTAAATGAAATATCTGGTCTGGTCATGGTTAGATATAATAACCTTCCCACCATCCTCCTGAACACGCTAGGATCTGTCAACAAGTCATCCTTTGCATCCGGTAGAAACTTTTGATCATACTCATATGAAGTCAGTTTTAGATGTTGTTCAAGAGGAGTGTCAATGGGTTTTGCAGCAGATAATCCAGTCTCCAAAATTAGTTCCAGTGCAAATTTTCTTTGGTTCAAAACAATTCCTTCAGAGGACCTAGCAACTTCAATTCAAAAGAAGTATTTAAGGTGACCAAGGTATTTGATTTTGAAGTTATTCTGCAGTATAAACTTCAACTGGTCTATCATCTTGGTGCAACTCCCTATTATCAAAATGTCATCTACATAGACAAGCATAATGACTATGTTGCTTCCTTCTCGTTTGGTGAATAATGAGTAATCATATTTACTCTATAAGTAGCCATTTTTTATCAAGGCTTCAGTGAGTTTGTGATTCCATTGTCTACTTGCTTGCTTCAATCCATACAAGGATTTGAGTAATCTGCAGACTGTGTGATTCTCCCCCTAAGTCCTTAAATACATTAGATTTTTGCAATTCTTGTCAACTAGGAAAAGCCACTAAATGGCCTTTTGTTGATTCTACCCGAGTCTCTACCAAGCCTTTACAACTCATTCATACCGATGTATGGGTATCTCCAATAACTTCAACTAGTGGTTATCGCTATTATGTTATTTTTGTTGATGATTTTAGTCGGTTTACATGGATGTAACCCATGTGTTTTAAATCTAAAGTCTTTATTATTTTTCAGCAATATAAAGCTCTTGTGGAAAATTTGTTCTCTTCTAAAATTCAACAACTACAATCCGACAATGGAGGAGAATATATTTCCAATGATTTCAAATCTTTTTTAACAAAACATAGGATATACCATAGATTAACCTGCCCCTACACTTCCTAGCAAAATGGAATTGCCGAAAGAAAACATCGACACATTCAAGAAATTGGTTTAACATTATTAGCTAAAGCACAACTACCAAATAAATATTGGACTGATGCCTTTCTTATAGCAGTTTTTCTCATAAATCGGCTTCCCACAAAAGTCCTCAAAAATCTATCTCCTTACTTCCTGCTCCATAAAACCATGCCCTCATATACTTCACTAAGAACATTTGGATGTGCATGCTACCCATATCTAAGACCATATAAGAACAACAAGCTTTCATTTAGAAGCAAAAAATGTCTCTTTCTCGGGTATGCCGCTTAACACAAGGGGTATAGATGCTTAGATCTGGACTGAGGAAAAATATATATTTCCAGGCATGTAGTGTTTGATGAGAACTCATTTCCAGCAAGGGATAAAAGCTGCACTTCACCAGACCATGAAAGCAAGATGTTGACAGGTTTGTTTCCTATCTCATGTTCAATTCCACTTCATGATATCCCAAGATTGAAAACCTCCAACACTGCTTGTGAAAACAATGCAACACCCGAAATTCAATCTGAAACCATATTACCTGATAATGAGTCCCCATCAGCTCTAATGTTTGAGAACCCAACCCACCTACATACAGAACCATTCTCTTCACATGAGCAGACCATTCCCGACCCTCAACCAGCTCAAACAACACCTCAAGACCCACCAAAAAATATTATCATCACTCGGTCCAAAACAGGAAATTCGAAACCAAAAGAATTTCCTGGGTTCAAAATGTCTTATTCCACTCATCATCCTTTTTGTTGTTTAACTAGTATTTTAATTGAATCTGAGCCAACTTGCTATACACAAGCAGTAGCAAAACTAGAGTGGAGACAAGCTATGGGACATGAATTTGATGCTCTGATGGAAAATGGGACATGGTCTCTTTGTCCAAGGCCACATAGTAAACATATAGTCAGAAATAAATGGGTATTCAAAATTAAAAGACACCCAGATGGTAGCATCGAACGCTACAAAGCAAGGCTTGTGGCAAGTGGATTTGATCAAAAATCTGGAATTGATTATTTTGATACCTTCTCTCCAGTAGTTAAACCGACTACGGTTAGATTGGTTTTATCTATTGCTGTTCAATTTAATTGGCCTATCAAACAATTGGATATGTCCAATGCATTCTTACATGGCATTCTTGATGAAGAAGTGTATATGGAACAACCTTAAGGCTTCATTGATGAGAGCCAACCAGATTTCATGTGTCAACTACATAAATCTCTTTATGGCCTTAAACAAGCTCCAAGGGCTTGGCTTCAAAGGCTCTCTGAACAATTGCTAGAACTTGGATTTGAGGAATCAAAAGTTGATTGTTCATTGTTTACTCTTTGTACTAATACATTCAAACTTTTTGTGTTGGTTTACATAGATGACATTATCATAACTGGATCAAGCAGTTCGGCTATTATATCTTTCATTGACAGCTTGAAGGAAAATTTCCATATTAGAGATCTTGGACAGCTAAGTTATTTCCTTGGAGTTGAAGCAAAACGTAGTAATAAAGGTCTTCATCTTTGGCAAGCTAAATATATATCCGACCTTCTTGAAAGCACCAAAATGCAAGGAGCAAAGCCACTAGCTTGTCCGACTACTTCAGGTATGAAATTATCTTCTAATGCTGGCACACTTCAATCAGATCCAACAGAATATAGGCGCATAGTGGGAGCTCTCCAATATTGCACCATTACACGTCCTGATATTTCATATGCAGTAAATCAGTTATGCCAATTTATGCATAACCCGAGAGACTCACATTGGATAGCGACAAAAAGTGTGCTTCGATATTTAAAAGGAACGGTGGTCTATGGACTTTTTTATTCACCTTCAACAATTGACATTCATGTTTATTGTGACTCGAATTGGGTTGGTAACCCAGATGACAGAAGAAGCACAAGTGGATTTAGTATTTTTCTCGGGAAAAATTTAATATCCTGGTGTGCCAAGAAACAAGGAGTTGTCTCGCGTTCAAGCACAGGAGCGGAATACCGAAGCATGGCTTTGGCTACACCTGAAGCTTATTGGATCCGAATGTTGATAAAATAGTTCAAGTTATATCTTTCATCACCTCCAATTATCTGGTGTGACAACATAGGAGCATTGGCCTTAGCTTCAAATCCTGTCTTTCATGCTCGGACAAAACACATGGAAATTGACTATCATTTCATTAGAGAAAAAGTGGTTAACAAAGATATTTTGGTGAAGCATATCTCCACCAAAGATCAAATAGCCGACGTGTTTACAAAGGGCCAAACAGCAACTCGATTCCAGTTTTTAAGGACCAAACTCATGATTCGCCAACTTCCCATGAGTTTGTCGGGGGGTGTTAGAGCATTTGATGATCAGTTGAGAGAATCAAGGAACTCAGATCAATCAAGCAATTGTGCTGCAGCTGAAGAGCAGTTAAGAGAATCAAGGGAGAAAACATCGGATCAGATCAGAAGTGGTGCAGCAAACGATCCATCTCCAGACTTTCCTCATTCTGTTTTGATTCAAACAATAGGATAAAGTTAGCTGTAAAATGTATTTTGAACTCCTTAATTTTCTGTAGTTTGTTATATGTAATCTGCTATAAATTCAATGAAATTAAATTCAAACAGTAAGTAAGCCAATCAGTTCAAACTCTCTCGTCTCTATTTTACTTCCTCTGCTTATAATTCTTACAGAACCAAGTGACGAAACACAGGCATTGGCATTGAAATTCCTATAATAGCCTGTGAAAGGAGCATTAACCAATTGGTTTTCACTAGACCGCCTCTGGTTGCCCATTGGTCTGCGTCCCACAGACTCGAATAAACCCTCATCGGCTGCTTACAGGGAAAGGGAACTCCAATTGCTTCCTCATTGTTGTACTCTCTTATGGGGATATTATCAACTAAGAAACTGATCCGATCATCAAACAGAAATTTTATTAGAAAATTGTATGTGTTCATGCACATAAAGATAATCTTTATCTAAAGTAAGAATGTTTGCTTTAAACATTTATACGTATATCTTACATGATGCGTTGAGGATTCCATACAATAGAATAGGTGTGAAATTTTTTGGTTGGGCCGAACCATAGGTAAAACTGTTGCTCCCTGTTCCCCTTCCCTTGAGTGTACACATTAGTGTGGACAATATATGGCTCGCCACTTCAGCTCCCCAAGAACTCGAAGTCAATCTCGTCATGATATGGCCCTTCAGAAGATAGCTGCAACAAAAATTAAATTGATATATATTACCATCAGTTTGGAAAAAAAAAAAAGAATATGATATATACATAGACAGAAAATGGAGAAAATCTGTATACATACGTTATGATTTTCATTACGTATTGAATATGCATTAGTAGATAAAATAAAAAATGGAGACAAGAACATACATACTAAGCAGTAACAGTGCCAGCAGAGTCTCCAGAAACTAGCTTAAGCTCCATGTCGATCCTTCCAAATAGATATTCTCTCTTGGACCGAAACCCGGAGCCTGAGGTTTTGTCAAGAGTAAGCGAGAGAGACTTTCCTCCGTCGAGAATTTTAGCACGATAATCACCCCAAGTTAAGTCAACATCTTGGTAAAAATTATCGCCAGTTGCCATGAAAGAACCCACTGAGAAAAAAAGCAAAAAGGTTATTTGAATTCTAGGGAAAGTGCTATAAGTTGTCATCTTTAGAGGAGAGAGTGCTTATTTTATGTGGGTTCGCAAAGTTACTGGAATTAATCTCACACGCAGGCACCTCTATATATACACATATACAAACACAAGCAGGATGGATTATGTAAGATGCGTGAACTGAACACATACGAAAAAAAATAGCTGGAGATTGCAGATTTCTAGGTAATAAACTTCGTTTAGAAGTTCTATTACAGGTCGGTCGGCGTTGGATTAATAAATATTCGTATAGTTTTGCATCGAAAGTAATTGGCTAAAATCTTCTACACATATACCTTTAACACAACTGGGGCAAATTATATACACATATACCTTTAATACAACAGGGGCAAATTATGTACGTATGCCGTAGTTGGTGGGTCTCCAAAGGTATTGGTATTATCTACAAATCTGGGGCATATACGGTTTTATGTTGAAAAGACGTCTCTAAATCTCTAGAGACATGATAGGTGGGTTTTCTAGGTAATCATTGTACTATATAAACGATTAAATTTTTCATATCTTAACTGATGTGAGACTTTAATACCAATACTTATTAATAATTATTATTAGTATGATATATAACACATGAATTTTCAAGTGACAATGATTTTGTTACTATCAATTACATTTTGAATTTCATGTCATAATTAATGGAGAATGATGTTTTAACGTAGTGAAGAAGATTTGAGTTCCAAGACATTAGAGTTCAGGTAGTCTTAACATGGCAAAGCTAAGAATAGATGAGCTGGATCTCAATTAGTTTCTGGGAAAGCGTAATTTGATTAATAAATTATCGCATAATTGCAAGGTTTTTGCTGTGCTTTATTGGAAAATCCAACTTTTGCAGTGGAACTACGCCACTGCCAAATATTAATGTGAAATACGAGAATATCTCTTTTTCCATATTAAGAGGATTGATTTTCATGTAAAAGTCAAGTCACAACAGTTAATACACTCTGCAAGTCTCCACGGCCGTAAACGAATCCATTGAGAATGACAGTTTGACTCCAAATCTTTCTGGCTTCCACAGTTTCTTTATCCATTGATTCTCATAAAATCAAGGTACGCCTTGCCATTTAATTTCCGAGCAAAAAATTCCTTGAAATACTTCTCCAACGGGACTCGCCGGAAAATCGCTGGACTATTTGGGCGAATCAGGCTTGATGCCGGGCCCAACTCAGTGTCTAGCTTGGAACTATAGAATGTTGCTACAGACAGCCTCTCTTTCATTGAGTTTACTGTTGCTCGGTGCTCAATGCTCTTATAGATGCCATTGCTCACAATCTGTATATGCAAATTAGAGATGTCATAAATAGCAAATTTGCCTAGGTTTTTCATTATTACAGAAAATACATAATAGAAACTTAATCCTATTTGGATTTACGCAAATCTAACTCGACTCGGACACAAATATTAGTAAACTAATTCTAAATCAATTAGATAGTCTGTTTACCATGAAAGGGGCATTGCCCTTTCACCCCCGAATGAGTTGTTGTAAGCAAACAATTCGTCAAGGCTAAAAGAAATATACACCATATTCAACAATAGGTTCACAGTCCTTTTCCTACCTGAATTCTTTTAAACTTTTAAGAATATTTATGTTATAAATTTATTTCTCAATTATATGCCATGAAGATTTTTCATTTTATAATACTTTTTATAACGAAGAATGTCATGAATCTTATCTTGTATTTGTCAGAGTAATAGTCCAAATTAAATTAGGATAGCATTCTAGTCATAATTTACAGCGAAGTGGCTTCATCATCCAATGCAAGAACAGAGTTTTTCCCGGTAGTATAAGAAGTTCAAAAGCAAATTTTACCTCCATGATGTCTCCGATGTTGACTACAAAAGCATTTGGAAGCGGTGTAACTGGAATCCATCTCCCATCTTTGCGAATTTGAAGGCCTTCAGTGTCATTGAGCTGATAGAGAACAGTAAGAGCGTCAGCATCAGAATGTGGTGTGAAACCAATGGCCTTCTCTGGTTCAGGACATGGAGGATAATAATTCATTCTCATTGATTGAACTCCATCATTCAACATATCTCTCATCTCTTCACAATCCATGTTTAATGCTTTAGCCATGTGATCTAATATTCCCATAGCTAGCCTTTTCACTTCCATGGAATAAGTTTCTAACACCTCTCTGCACCAAATTCATGAAGATGAACATAAAAATCACATCTGTCTGTCAACATAAACTTTCCTCAGCAGCACTAAGTCAGTACAGTTAATGGCATGTCTCCATCAACTCATAATTCTCATAGTTAATAAACCACTAGACCCTAAACTATAAATCTATCGGACCGTTCCATGTGAAACATGAATCTAATTCTATGGTAAACAGTTTCAAATTAATTTTACAGAGACCAAGACTGGTTTAATTTGATTGAATGATATGGATGTGGCAGATTAAACCGATTGAGAGTTATAAATAATAGCTCTAATTAGCAGAGTTGAATTGGGCTGATGGAGATAGAGAGATTGAGACACCTGAGATTTGGAGGAAGCTTGTTAAAGAGTTGAGTGTTCCTCAGATTGAGTGGAAGGGTTGTGATATAGAACATATCTGACCAGTCTAGCTTTTGATCCTCTGAAACCACAAAGAGCTGCCCAAATCCTTCATGGTTGTCTGGCTCCTGCCACATCTGCTTCTTTTCTTCATATGGAAGTTTGAAGAAATTTTCAATTTCCATCTTGAATTTCTCCAGCAATGAAATACTAACTCCATGGTTTATAACCTGAACTTCATATAAATTTTCATCAGTTTCTGATTAACTTAGTTGCTCTTTATCTTTGAGATGAATAATTAAGTTGACAGTACGAACCTGAAAGAATCCCCATTCTTTGCAAGCTAAGTGCAGCCTCTCCAGTTCATAATCCACAGAAGCCAATTTCTGAAGATCAATTACAGGTACAGATGGAAGACAGGAGTCATGGGTGGCAATCGGAGGGTCCTCATGAGAACGAATATATCGAGGTGGGATGTCGATGATGGGTTGTTTTGCTAATTCCTGAACACTTGGTACTATTAAAGATTTACCAAAGTTGACTGCTTCTTCCTCCCGTAACTCTAACTCCATCACTAATAAACAAGGAAGCAGCAACAGTAACCACAGGTTAGATTGGAGACAAAGACTCCGGTTTATCACAAAAAGTTGGACTTTGATAATGTTGAAATCTATCCTTACTGGTCCAATGATGTTCGAGGCCTAACTTTTCTTTTATATATTGTTAATATATGATAGGAAGCATCTAACAACTCGTATAATTGGATTGGACTGTGGGTCTTGTGTGAGTTTCGTAGTGATGGCAATGGGTCGGGCCAGGACTGGGTATCCCTTGGCCCAGGCCCAAGCCCGACCTCATCACACAGGCCCAAGCTTGGCCTGAGCCCGTTACGGGTATGATAGGCAAGCCCAAGCCCGGAACAACGGGTTTTTTATAACCGCAGGCTCGGCCCAAGCCTGCCTTTTTTAATAATGTTTATTTTTAAATATTAATAAATTTCAAAATTTTTTATATTTTTTATTTTAGAAATAGTTTTTAAATATTAATTGAAGCTATTTCCGCAAATAATTTAAGCAATAAGTGAGCAATTAAAACTCCATAATATTTTATTATACTAACTTTTTAGCTGTGCATAATATGTTATGGTGAAATCTACTTTTAAACCCATCTAACTCATTTAAAGGTAATTTTAACATGTTAAACCTTCAATATGGGATGAAAATTGAGGTTAGGGTTTGAGAAAAACGGATATATATATATATATATAGGATAATATTGTAATTAAATATATAGTATAAGAGTAAATTAGTAAAATTAATACTAAAATTTTTGGGGATGGGCCGGGCCTAAAGATATACCCATGCCTGACCCGTACCCGAGGTCGGGCCTTAAAATCAAGCCCAGACCCAAGCCCAAGCCCACTAACTTCGAGTAAAGCCCGCCCCTTTCGAGTCGGGCCGGGTCGGGTATCCGAAAATGTCGGGCTCATTGCCATCTCTAGAGTTTCGTAGAACTCTCTTTAAAAAAGGTGTCTAAACCCTTTATAACCCACATGTTGAAATTGGATTTGTCAAAAACATATATGATTTTAAGAGATATAAATGAGAAAGATTACTAAAATCATATCATGAAAATTAAATAATTATCCGAACCAATTAATAGAACAAAAATAGTTAAGACATTTATTTAAACTTTTTAAGTGAAAGTTGTAGGAGTTTACTGATTGAAAAGAAAATTATTTCTTTTAATTAAAAAAAATCAAATCAAAATATTACTTAATATTATAAAAATGACGACTTGAAAGAAGATGGACCTAATAATAGAGCCAGTGCTGAGGTAGGTTGGGTGACTGTATCATATAATATAGAGTTAATTATACAGACCTCGTCTGAGGTTTCAAACATTTTTCAGGCACAGAGAAAAAATTATTAGATTAACACAAACACCTCGTCCATTCAACCTTCTTTACGGTTTCTTTAGGGTTTTCTTATGTAGCACCCCTTCAACATATAAAACTAACAAGTGACCCCCATAATTAGCCACTTGCACCTCTTCCATCAATTTTTGGTGTTAAAATTAAGAGTAAACTACTTTTTCCCACCCTAGGTTTGTCTTAATGACATTTTTCCACCCAAAAAGTTTCAAAATACAACTTTCCCACCTAAAGTTTATATTCTGTTAATATCCAAAATACACTTTATTTTCTCAGTCGACTTTCGGCGAGTTACCAAGATTCAGGATAAGAGAGGTTTTGTAGAGTGAAGGTCGGTGGATCGAATTGTGATGACAAATTGAATATTCGCCACTGAAATCAACCAAAAATTAACTAAGAACAAGAAACCCTAGCTTTACAATAGCCGACAATCGGCGAGAAATCAGGTGTCTTGGTAAAGAAGAGACCAGAGGTTCAAATGATGATGATGGAGATAATTTTTGTAGCCGAAATCAGTCAGAATCGGCTTTGGGTATTAAACGGAATATAAACTTTAGGTGGGAAAGTGGTATTTTGAAACTTTTTTGGGTGAGAAAGGGTCTTTAAGGTAAACCTTAGGTGGGAAAAAGTTGTTTACACTTAGGATGCGTTTGGTTCAGGGAATGTTGGATTACTATGAGTGTTGGACTGCTGGAAAATTAGATTACCTTGAAGATTACTGGGAATCATTAGGAAAATGTGTTTGGTTAGATGGTGGGTATGTTATATTAATATGTTTGGTTAGGAGGAATAAATTGGTGGGTATGTTATTTAAATTACTGAATTGTCCTCTAATTAAATATTATTTTTTAATATTGATTATTATTTGGATTATATAACCCCCCTACATTTTAAAACTTAGCAAAAACAACCCCATAATAAAAGTTTGGAAAATCAACAAAGCACCCCCACCAACCCAGCCATTGCTGGCCGCCAGCAGCCGGCAACCTAACAACGTACGGAAGGTAGGAAATGGCCTCCGTGCGCCGTATGGCCATTTCCAGCCAGATTGATGACGGATCTGGCAGTAATGGCCATCGATCCAGCCGTTGACGGCCAGATCTGTCACGATCTGGCAATTTTCAAGTAGATATCTAGCCGAAAAATGGTCATATCGGCACACGACGACCATTTTTGACCTTCCGTACGCCATTCCGGCGGCAGTGGTGGTTGTCAGCGGCAGGCAGCGGCAGGTGGGTGGGGGTGGTGGCTTGGGTGGGCTGCAAATTGTTTTAAATTCAAGGGTAATTTTGTCGAAAAAGTTAATTAATTGGGATAAAATAGTAAAAGTCATATTCATGTAAATAAATTTAAAAATAAGGGCATTATTGTCCTAAAATTTTATTAATAAGGGATAAAATTGTAACAAAAAAAAAAAAAAAAAAAAAAATTACCCTAGTAATCTTAGATGCCACATTTTGCAAGTGATCAAATAGATTCCAAGGCTTATATTTTTTAAGCACATACACATAAGAAAAAAGTTAGCGGTGGTTGATGTGTTGATTTATTCTGATTTACAGTAATAATTTAATTAACTAGTCTAAAGTAAAATTGAAGTTAATTTTGTAACAACTAGAGAGAACAATTGAAAGGATAAAGAAGAATCTTCTTTTACAAGCTCAAGAAACAGAGAGCACAAAACTGAAAAACTGAAATGATTCTTTTCTAACTAACTATAAGCAAACATTGCATGACAAGAGTAAACGACATCGTTTTTACAATAAGCTTTTCTCATTTAGTTAATTTCCACTTTTGTCCTTCATTCTATCATTCCCCCATAAACCAAACATTCTCTACTTTTCCTCTTATCTTCATATTCCCTCTTCATTGTAACACTCACTGCACGTTCTTCACATCTCATCTGCAATTATGTTCTTCACAACTTGTACTGATTTCTTTCTCCATCAGTTTTTCTCTCCTACTAATTCTGCAACATTTAATAACGAATCTGCAACGAGCTGATGAAGTTAGCGAGCTAATTAAGTGAACAACAGCTGATGAAGTTAGCGAGCTAATTAAGCGATCAACAGCTGATGAAGCGAACAACAACAGCGAACTGATGAAGCGAACAACAACAGCGAACTGATGAAGTGAACAACAGTTGATGCAGCGAACAATAGCTGATGAAACGAACAACAACAGTGAACTGATGAAGCGAACAGGACAACAACTTTTAGCCATTACAAAACGAATCTGCAACGATGTAACGCCCCACTTGAGGTACGTAGTTAATGTTTCTTCTTTTGCTCTTATTTGAGTTGGTTTATTAGTGTTATTGTTTGGTTGACCTTTGATTGAGTGGTATGTTGGATACTTGCCCTGAAATTGGTTGAAATAGAAGAAGTTCTGTGTTCCAGGCTTCGTCGGGGCGAAGAAGAATCTTCGCCGCAGCGAAGAGGTGTTAAAACCACGGGGAAGTTGCTGGACAGTTTCGCCGTGACGACAGAAGCTCCTTTGCCGCGGCGACGGGCCGACCAAAATGTTTGCTAAGTTTTAGATATTTTCTTCCCTAAGGGTAATTTGACCAATCTACCCTTAATTAGTAGGAAAAGTGGGGAGTAAATTGAAAGGATTTTTCATGGAGAATATGTTGTTATGGGGGTGTGTTTGTAATGAATCAAAGGATATAGATGGAATTCCCAAGGAAGAGTAAGGGCAAAATGGGAATGCTTGTGCATAAATTTCATTAAAAGGAATTAAGTCATTGCAAACCCTTCATTCTTCTTCTCCATCGCCACTCTCCTTTCTTACTTCCTCTCAATTTCTCTTTCTTTTGTTCAAGGAGTTTTAAAGGGCTTTTGGAGTGATTTGGGGTAGAAAATCAATCTAAGGCATCCTAAGGTAAGGATTCTTGCTTTGGTTGTGAAGCTTTGTGAGTTTTTGAATATATTTGATTATTGAGGGTTTTTGTTCATTTGTTTAAGAGTAGAGAAAAAGTCAAGCAAACCAAGTGAAAGGAAGAGCTAGTGAAATCTCTCCATAACAAGGTAAGTAAATCCCAACCCAAGTTGAGATTTGAGAATTTTCTTGATTAGGGTTTTGATAGCAATTATGTATGTATGTTGTATACATGTTATATGCCATGTTATTGAGTCTTAAATGGAGATTTCTAGTGCTTTGTGATTGTTTATACATTTCAAATATAAGAAGTGAGATGTGGGTTGGAAAGGTAGTTTGAGATGGAATTGAAGGATATTGAGGAATCCTTTTTGGAAGTGTCTTTCTTTGGTAGGATTTATGGCTATGTGAGGGAGTTTCTCCCCATTTTGGATGGTTAAAGAAAGACATAGGATTAGTGTTGTAGTAGAGTTTTATTATGCACTTGAGTTGTTTGATGAAATGCCTAATAGAGGTTGAGTATGAGTAGTGAACCTTAATTCTTGCAACATTGCATGTTGGCATTTCATAAGTGCATTAGAAAAGAATGAACCATCCATAGACATTAATTGTGTATTGAGAAATGGCTTAAGAAAGAGTAGAAAACTTTGTGTATGCACTTGCTCTAAGAGTAGAGAACTTTGTGGATGCAACTACTCCAAGGGTAGAGAGAATGAGAAGTGCTAGAATAGAGTGAATGAGAAGAGTAGTAGAAACGGGTTGATGCTTTGTGATCATCACCCGACAGTTATGAGAATCCGGTTGATGCTTTGTGATCATCACCCGAATAGCCATTAGAAATGGGCTGATGCTTTGTG